CCGTAGAAGACTGTGGGTGATTAAAAATATTACCTGTGCTAATTGAAAGAGAAGTACAGGATATTGAAATGGAATCAACAAAGTCAAGTTTTCACTCATATTTGAAATACTGCTAGTTCTCTATTCCTCCCTCCCCACGCTTTCACCAACCTCAACTTTAGCTGCAGCTTGGGAAGGTCCCTAGTAAGTAGCCCTTAATATGAAGTATTAATGTAACTAAGTGAATGCAAGAGGCCCTACCTCTGCTTTATTGTTGTTGTTAATGTCAGTAACTCCATGGAAGAGTGGATAGAAGGAGTTACTTAAAATTATAATTTAAACATCTTAAAGGTATTGTAAAGAATTAAAGCTACAATCAATGATATAATGGAAGAAGATTTCAAATGTAGTGCTGAATGCTACCTCCTTAGAGGTAAACTTATACTTTTTATTATTATGAATAATAAACTTTGGAAAGATATTGGTCAGCTTTGCTCTTATAGCAATATTTTGAGAACTCAGTACTTCTGAAGTTAAAGAAGAGTGCTCTTTCCTTGACAGTAGTTGTGATCGCTTTCAAAAGTGTAATCTGATTTCAAGAGTAAGCTCAGCAATAGTGGAAATTTTAAAGCTAACAGGGACCTTGAAACTACTTAGCACAATTTGTTCCTTTGTACCAGTCCCTTTGCTGAGGAAACTGAGACGCAGTGAGATGGCTCGCCAAGGCTGCAGACAGAGCAGGGGTTAGGACTGAGAGTCTTGACATCTTGTTGCAAGTCCCTAAATTAGCCAGAGCTCCCATAAGTGGGGGAGGCATGGTTCCTACCATTAGCCCATTGACTGCCTCCTGCTTGTGAACTCTCAGAGTAAAACTATGTCTTAGTCAACTTTGTGAATGTGGTTGAGCAAATGTGTTTTAAGTTGAGGAATATACTTAAGAATTGAAAAAACAGGAAAACATACCTATTTTCCAGATTGAAGAAGTTTTCTAACAAGAGTCAGAATGTTGGCAGTAATTAACCTTAGAACATTCATAGTGATGAAGCTACTATTTAGTTTTCATGCCTCCAGTTTCAAACAAAATGGCTCACAACTTACAAGTATGTGTGCTTGCTTAGTTGGCATAATTATTCACTGGAGAAATAGTAGGAGACAGGAGTCAAGACAGCTGGTAGGTCTTGCCTCTGCCACAGTGTCCAATTAGAAAAGCCTAGACTTGACAGCCAAATAGAATTGGGGCTGAGCTCAGCTCTATCCCTAACCATCAGGGCTCTCTGTAGCAAGTTACTTAGCTTTTTTCGAGCATTCTCTCATCTCTAAGGTGGAGGTAGTAGCATCTCCCTTTAAGGATTGTCGTGGGGCTGGGATAACATTTACCAAGTGTCTGGTGTACACTAGGCCCATAATAAATGGTAATGGCTACAATTATGACTTCTGATTTATGTGACCCTGAGAACAGCTTCATCTCTCAAAGCTTTGGTTTTCTCACCTGGAGCATTGGTGGTTGGGATAGGACAAGGGATTTGGGGAGAGAGAGGGAGTTGGGGAAGAATTAAATGATCTCTAAGATCTGGTCTATCTCTATACATCTCTGTAGTTTAAGGAATCAATAAAGAATGCACAATTCTCCTGCAATGTTAGTCTAAGTAAAATGATTCACATATCCTTGATCTAACATTCATATAGCCTTGAACTAACAGCAGAAATGGTTCATTTCTGGACCTTCCTAACAACTGGCATAATTAACTTTGATGATATTAAGTACATCTTCATTCTTTTATATGACGTACGATGGATACCAGTTAACTTGAATATCTCAGCCTCTCATTCAGCTTACTATATATATAAAGCAGTATAAAGAGTCTACAGGTTAATCAGACATTGGCACCCTTTCTTTAAGAGGCTTGAGAGTCATGTAAGGAGCATAAGGCAGGTAACCAAAGGCTGTATTACATGGAAGAACTGTGAAAGAGGCACAAAGAAATTGCTTTGTGATTTCAGAGAAGGAAAAGCTTAATTAAGACTTAATTAAGGCATCTTGAGCAACGCCTTAAACAATCAGTAGGACTTCAGCTGGCAGAGATGTGGGAACTAGCCTATACTAAGACTTGAATGAAAGTCTTTTGAGCATATATATATATGAGCATATCCAGGAATGGAAAGGAGTGTGGTTAAGCTGGGGGGGCAGGATAGTGGGGCAGAAGGCTGCATGGCAAGGTTAGGACTGTACTGTGATGATCTTGAATGCTGGGCTAAGGAGCCTATTTATTAGGCAGTAGATCACCATCAAAGGTATTTTAAGGTGTGTGTATGGGGGGGGGGGTGTGATGTGATTAGAGCTATGCTTTAAGAAGATTAATCTGAGTCAGAAGAGCCATGGGTAGTCCCGGTTAGGAAGCTATTAAGATACACTCCAGAAGAGAAGCTACAGAGAATACAAATTAGGGTGGGAGCAGGTGGGTTGGGGGTGACACCACAGAAGTAAACGGGACAGGAATTGTTGACTAATTAGATGAGGGAGTTGAAGGAGAAGTCAAAGATGGAAGCTGAGTGACTTTGGACAGCAATGGCAGGAATTGAAATAGTCAAGAAGAACCACTAGTTAAGGCACTTGCTAGTAGTGTACAGTCAGTGTTTGTCTCATTAATGGAAGTGATGATAAGTTTGGATTTGGATATGTTCACATTTGTGTGCCTATGGACCATCCAGATGGATGGGAGCCATTGCAAATAGAGGAAATTTGGGGCATCCTTACAAAGGGATTAAGTGGTGAGAAAGGTTCACAGTGTGGGTGAAAAGAATAAAAGACTAGGGCAGAGCCTTGGAAAAACCAATATTTGTGGGCTTGGAGGGAGACAGAAAGAGGCTGTCAGGATGCTGAGAAGAAAGAAGCAGGAGAAGAAGGAAAAGGCCGGGTAAGGAAAGGTGAGAGAGGAGGATTGGTGGAGGCTGATAGGGTGGAGGGGCAGACATCAGAGACTGGGAAGAGATCAGTAGACTCGTCAGGGAGACCATTGTCAGCAGCCTTTGAGGATGGGGTCAGTTGGGCAGTGGAGACAAGTCAGAGACAAGTCAGCCAGGTGCCTGAGTGGTGCCTGATGGGAAGAAAATGGAGTGAGTGTAAACCATGATCACACTGTGAAAATCTGAGAGGCCAGTGGCTAGAAACAAGAGCGTAAGAAAGGCCTGAGAGTACTGTGGCCATCCTTGGAGAGGAAGAGCCTGAAGATAAGGAGAGGGGTGGGAAGGCGGCTCCTGCATCAGGCCCTCCACAAGTAGGAGGGGTAGCAACAAGAGAGAGTGGCCATATGTCCGGGGGGCCTAGGCCAGCCTTGGTTCACACCTGTTACCCCAGTTTACTTATGGGCTAATGTTTGGACAAATATTACAAATATCTGGAAAAATAATGCCTACTTTTATTCTAAAAGAGGACACTTTTTGAATAATAAATTATTCAATCATCCAGGTCATGGCACAGGTAGTTATTCATGGAAAAACAGATGTGACATGGAGGCAAAAAGTCACAGATTTAGAAAGAGAAGTTGGGAGCTGGGAAGGAGGGTGGCTGCATGTGAAACAGATCCATTCCCTTCTGTTGGGAAGCAAGAGCAATAATGGAGGAGGCCAGTTGATTGGCTGAAAGCAAGTTGGGGGTGAGGGGTAAAGTTGGGGAAGGGGAAGAGTTTGGAGTAGTTTTGCGTCTGAGTGCCGCAGGGATCCAGAGATGGCCAGGCCAGTGTGGTAGAAGGCACTCCCCCCTGTCTTCCTGACTCTCTCCAGCAATGCTCAGAGAGGTGGATGTGGAGGTGGTGTGAGGATTATTGGCACTACCAGTTCCCGGTGGGCCCTTGGCGGAGCAGGGAGGCAAGTGAGACGGCGCTGCTGGCCTGGGAGAGTAGGCAACAGAGAGCAGAGTTGAATGTGTAGCAGCTGGTTCAGCAGGGACAACGGAAAGGGAGAAATAGGAGAGGATGTGCAGGGGCTGATGGCAAAGGGCGTGGGGAAGTTTTAGAGTAGCTTATCATTATGGAGAGGTCAGTTATGAGTGATGATGTAAACTCAGAATGTCACTGAGCTTGAGAATGGTGAGGTGTCACAGCCATGAGGCAGAGGGCAGTGATCTTCAGGAATGATGAGGCTAAGCTATACATTATTTTATATATATATGTACACTTGATATATATATATATCAAAGTCTTTTTTTAAATTATGGAATACATTTATTAAAGCCTTTCTGCACTTTAGAGTTGGAAAGTATCTTAAAAAATAGGGAAGTTATTCCTTCATTTAGAAGATGGGGAAGCTAAAGTCTTTTAAAGACTTTCTAGAAAGATTGTGACTTGCCCCGTATCACAGATATGTGTGACAGAGCTGGCTCTGGAAGGGGCCAGGATCTCTGAATCTCAGTTTAATATTTTCCTCTAGAGCAGAAGAAATAATTAAAGTATCCACAGAACAAAATCTTAGAAAGCTTCCACTTGGCTTGCCTACTTACTGCTGTTAGAACACCCGTGTTTGTGGGCACAGAAACCCATTGAGGAGAGCTGTGGGATCAGGTCCATGTCCTCTGTCTTCCAAACCAAAGGCAGGTGATGGCGTCTTTAAGGAGGACCCATGAAAAACAGCTGCTCTTCCCCGTGAATTAAAAAACAGGTAAGCGTCAATAAATAGACAAAATAATTATCTTCATTATTGATGAAGCCTAGATTGGAGGACATAGCTTGGTGTGAAGTTCACAATGTCCTTGTGCACCCCAACCCTCGTGGAGACTTTGGAACAACATGCAGGATGGAAGGTTTGAGGCCAAAGAGCAGAAATACCCAGGTCTCTGCCTTTCGCTGCCCAGCTAGAGAAAAAGAGAAAGATGCCAAATCTCTTACACTTAATGTCTTTCACAGAAAAACTCCATCCATTGGAGAACTGAGAAACAGTTGTCACACACTAACCAAATAAATTGTTCCACCCCTATAGGGAAGAATATGGTGTAGGGCAAGAAGACAGGAGTGGACAGGGAATATCCCTCCTTTGGAAACCTTGTGAATGGGAAAGAGGTGTTGTTCCCTTTGAACATAAGGTTATTGACCACTCATAGGTTCTTTGTTTGCATTTGAGTTAAAGTAACTTCTGAGGCAGCAGGTAACATTTTTACACTAACTAGAGGTAAGTGAAATGACTAGGAGCGGTCCTTCATTAATCAGTTTCACAGCCATACCTAGTGGATGTCTGCTTCCTCCCTGGGGAATCTCAGGAAATTCACAGATGTCAAAGCAGAGACCATCAGCTTTAATATCCTGTTTTTGAATTCAAAACTTTGGAAAAGTGGAAAGTTCTTTCTCCTCATAAAATGTTTAAGGAGCCCTTAATTGGACATATAGCACTTGGGATTAGTGCGGATCCCATCCCTATTAGTAACCTTACTAATTAACTATTAAATTCCTCAGTTTCCTCATCTGAAGATGACTGTCGAAATTCAGTGAGACTTGGTTTAGGCACTTAAGGTAAAATCATGATGACTTTTTTCCCTTTATCCATGTCAATGTGTCTAATAACTTTAGACAAGTAAGATTATAGCACTGTGTTTCATGACAAATGAAATTTCCAACTTTTTATCCACTTCTTTTTTAACTGTTAAAAAAGTAATTTTTATTATAAAATATAACATATATATAACTTCTGAAATGCAAAATGTATAGTTCAATGAATTATTAAAAAGGGAATATCCATGTAACTACCAACCAGCTCGAGAAGTAAAACAATGTAATTTTTTCTCCCCATAGGAATCTTTTTCATTAGATGCTTGATTTTCCTTTTCTTTTAAAAAAAGATTTTTTTTTTTTAAAGATTTTATTTATTTATTTGACAGAGAGAGAGACAGCTAGAGAGGGAACACAAGCAGGGGGAGTGGGAGAGGGAGAAGCAGGCTTCCTGCCGAGCGGGAGCCCGATGCGGGGCTCGATCCCAGGACCCTGGAATCATGACCTGAGCCGAAGGCAGGCGCTTAACGACTGAGCCACCCAGGCGCCCCTAAAAAAAGATTTTATTTATTTATTTGAGAGCGAGAATGAGAGCACATGAGAGGGGGGAGGGTCAGAGGGAGAAGCAGACTCCCTGCTGAGCAGGGAGCCTGATGCGGGACTCGATCCTGACACTCCAGGATCATGACCTGAGCCGAAGGCAGTCGCCCAACCAACTGAGCCATCCAGGCACCCTAGATGCTTGATTTTCTTTTCAGAGAAGTCATGAGTAGTAAAGGAGGCAATTATAAGTACTCACAGGTTCAAAATATGTGTTCCTTTTGAGTGGAATTAGATCAAAAATGTAGTATGAGTATTTTACTCTGTAGTTATTTTTTATTTCTGTAACTATGAATTTAGTGTTTAGAACAAGTCCCGGGTTTTCAGCCTTAAAGATCAAAATCTTCAGGTTAAGAGTCTTCGGATTTGTGTCCTTTGGATGGGAGTGAAAAAATTATGATCATTTGGATATGAGAAAAGTCTTTATGCTTAATTATTTTTTAAACTTTCTGATCATCCCTCCTTTGCGTGTCTTTAGAAACAAAACAGCTAAGATTCCAGAATTGATGATGACTGTGTTCAGTAATCAAAGGTCTTCTTGGAAAACACCTGACCGTTATTGAGGCAAATACCTTTCAGTTCAGGCCACTACCTAGATTTGAAGTGGCAAGGAGTCGTCAATGATAATAGTTTTATTGCATGAAACACCTGCATTTTCTTTGTTTAATCATAATCTAGTATTCTGAATTCTACTGTCTTTTAAGGCTAAATTAAAGAGTCAATAAATAAAAAGTCTTTTGTGGTATCCAGAAAAGGGTTCTCTTGGATAAGTTTTTTTTTTTATGATTAAAAAAAGGAAATGATGATAAACATTAAAATAATTGGAAAAGTATCCTAGCTGATCTGGTGTATCACTGAAAACAGAAAAGCTATGAGTGTGTTAAAAAATGATAAAGAAAGACTCATCTTTTGGGGTAGTTTCTGTGGGTGTAAGATTTGGTTGTGGGGACCTCAGGTTAGAATTTGGTGGGCTGAACATGCGTTTACTGTCAGTCGCAGCCGAAACCCCCCTGTAATGATGGTGTGGATGTGAGAAGAGGCAACAGCAGATGGGAGACACCAACACATTTTCGGGGGACGGAAAGCAAACACACTTGTGGCAGTGGACTTTGTATAGTGGGGAAAGTTGGTACTTGAGTGCCGTGAAAGGAAGTTGGGAGTAGATCCTGGGAAGAAACAGCCAGTTTATCTCCCAGAATCCCAGAAATGCTCTGGATGAGAGGCTCTGGAGCAGGGCTGAAAATAAGGGAGTGATTCCAAGTCTGTGAAGGGGACCAGCCCTCAGTTCACTTTCCCCATCCCATACAGAAAGATGAAGCCCTTGCTGGACACTGGACATTTTTCTCTGGAGAAGTTGAAGTAAATTAGCGGTTCTGGATTTAGAGCTACCAGGCCAAAAAAAAAAAAAAGAGGGTAAAGGTGAAATGCTCAGTGAAAACAGAGGAATTTAATGAAACTCTAAATACTAAAACTCTGAAATACTAAACAGTGAGACCCTGTGCTCTTTTTCCTCCGCCCAGTTCTAGGAGAGTGAGGTAATTACCAACCCAGGCAGGGTATTGAAGGACTCTTCTCTGCCTATGAAGAGCAGCCCTAGAGAAAAGACCTACAGATACTGACATTGGGGGCCCACACTGAAAAAACTGACTTACTACCCATTCTTCCTAAAGTGAACCCATCAGGCAACAACCCTCTTCCCTCAACTCCATGAGTATACAGCTTGCAGTCAGCTTTTTAGCACCTTACTCTTGAATACAAATAGACCATGAACACTCTTTCTAGTATGACGGAATATAAGACTACTATGATGGAATGCCTGCTAGACTGATCCTCTAATTGTGTTTCTTCTATCTTTTTGCTTTTATTTCTGCTTTCTCTTCTGCTTCTTCCAGTAATTTTTTTTTGGCCATCTTATTTTTAAATTTCTGATATTTATTTCTTATTTGTATAGGCTCATTTTTATTTTATGAATTATAGGTGGGTTTAGGAATATGAAATTTAATATCAAAAGAGATAGCTAGAAGTTTTAAAAGTAGTTTGCCTTTAGGAAGTGGGTTTGGGGGTGACAATGAGGTAAGACAGGCTGCTGCTATATTTTCATTTTAAGCATGGTAGTATTATATGAATTTTAAAGTAATCTGTATGAGTTAGGTTGACAAATAAAATTTGTAAAAAGAAAAAGTAAGGCAGTGCTAGTAAGTAGATTAGGGAATGATTTACATGTATCCAGAACTTTAAAAATATATATTAAAAGTTAAGAAGTGATGTTTTGATGTTAGAATCATTCCTCACAACTGGGATTCCAGCCCTCCATCTGTCTCAGAATCACTTGAGGGAGGTTTTTGAATATTCAAATGATTGCCTCTATCCCAAGATTCTTACTTATTTGGCTTTGGGTGGGCCCCTGGGAATCAGTAATTTTTAAAAGAACCCCATCGGGGTGCCTGGGTGACTCAGTCATTAAGTGTCTGCCTTCAGCTCAGGTCATGGTCCCAGGGTCCTGGGATCGATTCCCGCATGGGACTCCCTTCTCGGCGGGAAGCCTGCTTCTCCCTCTCCCACTCCCCCTGCTTGTGTTCCCTCTCTCGCTGTGTCTCTCTCTGTCAAATAAATAAATAAAATCTTAAAAAAAAAAAAAAAAAGAACCCCATCAACTTCTGATGTATGGCTAGGGCTAACTCCTAACACCTTTGCTGCTTCTTAAATGTTTCTTGTATTCTTCCTATTCTCTCTCTCTTCCTCTCTGTGTCTGTCTCTGTCTCTCTGCTTTTCTGTCTCTCTGCTTCTGCTGCAAATCAGATCTTTGCTCTCTGTCAGTTTGGAACTGATACAGTCTATTTTAGGTCAGAAGAGTAGGAGGAAAGAAAGGGAGACATGGAAGAGGTCATTTGGATGACCATGAATAATGAGAGTGGCTACACAGGGAGCCAATATTTGTTTCCTTTTGTTTTGTGGAAACTACTTAAATTGATGACCTTATCTTGAATTTCCTTGGAGTAATTTTGGAGCTCAACTTCAAGTAAATTTGAACTTAATAACATTTTGTTATTTCTTTACCTTCAGTGTTACATCTTGGGGCTAAGTCAGTTGCACCCTGAGGTTACCCTCAAGTTCTTTTACCTTCCTTGGGTCTTACCCCTGTCTCTCCCAGCTGTGGTCTACCAGATGTTCACCAATATCGGTGTTTCCATTTTGCACCTGGGATCACCAGCAATTTTCATGGCTTTCTAGTTTTCTGTGAGGGAATTCTTAGAAGGGTGGCTAGCAAGCAAGAGGTGAAGGAATGTAAAAATTATATAATTTCCCAAGGGTGGAGATCTTGTTGCTTTGGGCCTTTGACTACAGAGAATTTGTACATCTAAAAGAAGAAGTGTTTGTTGCATGGAGGAGAGAAACATTTTAGACTTGGGGGATAAACTTTAAAAAAAAATCTGACAAAAAAAAATCTGACAAACTTTAGGTTTATAAAAATATCAGTAATTACAGAGAGTTAAGGTTTCCTTTGAACCTTTTCCCAGTCCTATTCCCTGCCTCCCTAGATCCAGCCACTTGTGAATGGGGTGTGTCAGTGACTTATTTGTTGTCATTTCACATCAAGACAATGCCCTGCTCCATACAGTGGTAGGACTTACCTCTCACATTCTGTCCAGTGTAGGGAGCTGTTTTGGCTGGTGTCCAAGGGATTTCTGCACACTTAGTACATTTATACAGCTAGGCCGAAGTATGATCTTTAAGATGAGGATTGGCTCGTCTCATCAGTAAGTCTTATTTAGAGCTTGCCTACGTGATGCAAGACTCTTCTAGGCCAGGGCTTCTCACAGTTTAATGTGCCCACAAATCATTGTGGATGGCATTACACTGCAGATTCCAATTCAGTCGCTCTCAAGTGGAACCTGAGATTCTGCATTTCTAATAAGCTCACAGGGGATGCCGCTGGTCTGCAGACCACACTTAAAGAAGCAAGGTTCTGGCTAGTAGTTCTCAGCCCTCATTGCTCATTAGAATCATCTGGGTGCTTCTTGGACCTATCCTTAGTGATTCTAATTTAACTGGTCTAGGGTGGGGCCCTGACATGATACATACATGTGTCCGTATGTGTGTGTATGTTTTAACCCCCCAAGTGACACTAGTGTGCAAATAGGGTTGAAAACCACTGTTAGAAGTTCTGCCCACTTTTGCTGTGACTCATAGGTAAAGATCTTCATGGGTGGACTTTGTAGCAATCTGGGAAGCACCTTATATAGCCTTTCTGATGTAGATACATTTGCTTTATGGATATGGTCCATGGAGAAGAGATTCCTCATGGATGGCTATGTTCCTAAAGATGAGGTGGACGTGGCTATCAGTGGGAACCTATCTAAGAAGTAAAAAAGTGGCCTTCTCATTAAAATTCAGCTGATACCAGAATGAGAGTTGAAGTGATG